CGCCCCGCCCCTTCGCCCCGTCGGCGGCGGCGGCCGCCGCCGCCGCCGCCACAGCCGCCACCGTCGCCTCGCGCGCGCCCTGGTCCCGCTCCTGCCGCAGCTCTTCCTCCTCTAACGCCTCCACCTCTCTGTGGTGCAGCCGCGACGCCCTGCCCCCAAGCTCCGGCTCGTTCTGATCCCGCGCCACCGCGCCTGCAACGGCCGCCACGTCGGGTACCAAGCCGCGGCTGGCCTGCAGCTGCGGCTGCGGCGCCGGCGCCAGCTGCGGCGTGTGCTGGTGCCAGCGAGCCGCCTCCGAGGCGTTGAGGACGCGCGCGGGGAAGGGCAGGCTGGGGTGGCGCTGCAGGCGCGCGAGCTGCTGCCACGCCTTGTGCTCGTCGGCGAGCATCAGCTGCGGGCGTTCAGGGTTTAGAATATAGCATAAGATGGCGTCAGCGGCGGTCGCTCGGCGGCGTCGATCATGCAATCGTCAGGGCGTGCACGTGTCATCGCAGCCACCCAAACGCCTGAGCCCCCAAGACCGACAAAGCGCGCGTGCGCGCCGTCCCGAACCACGATCCGGCTCCGGCGCCCTCCAGAAGCGCCGCGCCTCAGAGGGCGACCCGCCCACCTGGTGCAGCCGCCGCTCATGGTGCACCGCTCCCACCACCGACTGCTCAATCTCCACCACCGCCGACTCGCCGCGGCCGGGGGGCGCGAGCAGGCCCTCTAGGATGGCCCGCAGGCGCGAGAGCTTCGGTGAGTCAGCGACGGGGCGGCCGCCGGACTCTGTCGCGCCAATGACGCAGGCGACGCGAGATCTGAAAGTCCAAAGGGCAGCGGAGCGCACCTGGCGCGCGAAAAGGAAGTTGTTGGGAAGCGGCAGGCGACAGGCAGGCGCATGGATTGGGGCCGATTTGAGAGTGCGACCGCGTGTGGTGACGACGGTGGTGGAGATTTCGAAGGCAGGGATGCGCCCCACCGGCGCCGCACTGCCCTGCTGAGGCTGACTCAGAGCACCCTTGCTGAGAGCCGCAGCGCGCGCCGCTGCCGGCGCTGCCAGCGCGCCTCCATGCCAGCGCCCCCAGCACCTGCGCCCAGTGCCACCGCGCACCTCGCAGCCGTTGTGCATCAGCAGCTGCGTGATATCGGCGAGGATGCCACGCGCGTCAGGCCCGACCATTTGGAACACGCTGCGCGCCGCCGGCTGCTGCGGCCTCGGCCCGCAGCCATCCCCTGCGCGCGGCGGCAGTGATTGAAGCGTGGCGGCAAGAGCAAAAGGTGGCGAGCGGCGTGCGGCAAGCATGCTGGCAGGGCGCTTTCGGCCCAACAGGGCCTGTCCGCTCGGACACGGCGGAAGCTGCAGTGAGGCAGCCACTGACCAAGCGCGGTAGTGATCGGTCCAGGCCGCGTCAGTGGTGACTGCTGACAGTCAGGAGGGCGGCGGATGGACCCGCAATGCCCAAAGGGCCGCACCCTGCTCCTCTGAGACGCTCAGCATGCGGCGGATGGCAGCCAGCTTTCGCTCGTCGGTCACGCGCCCGCTGGGGGGCTCGCATATGTGCAGCTCTGCGGGGGCGCGTGTGGGTGGGCGCGCAGGGCCAGGGGTGTTGACTGGCTGCCGGGCCGGCAGAGCGTAGGGATGCATACTAAGTCCCCTCTGGAGCTAGAATGTTCGCCAGGGAGGACGCGGCCGAAGGGGCAGGCGGGGATCGAACGCGGGCCTCGAAGGTCCCAAAGTGTACGCGGCAGACAGCAGCGCCCCCCGCCGCAGCCGCCGCCGCATTCGCATCTAGCGCTGCGCGCCGCCTCGTCACGTCTGCCCGCCGCGACCCAGGCGGCGCCGCCCTTGGCACGCACCATTGATGAACCACCCTCCATCGCTGGAAATCCGCGCCCTGAGGATGGACAGGCTGAGCTCTGTCAGGCACTGCACCACCTCCACCAGGGTGCCTGGGGTAGCCACAGGTTGACCCATGTTGGTCAAGGGGCCATATGGAGGGTGGGTCGCGAGCGCAAGCGTTGGCCAGAGCGAGCTGCGGGGATCAAAGCGCACCCAGCCGCCGCCGACAAAGTGCACCGCAAGATTGCTCGCGTCTTGGGCTCGGAAGAAACCTGTCCGTGCTGCGTAACGTCCCTTGCCTCTGCCTACCCTGTGGCGACCGTCAACGCCCGTATGCCCACCAAACCGCCCAGCCGACGCGTCTGTGGCATGCCTTTCATGCAACGCGCCCACCCGGCTGCGCCGCCCAAACGCACAGCTCCGCGCGCACCGGGCCGGTTGGCGCTGTCAATGGTGAGGCGCGTGCAGTCAGAGAAGCTTTCATTGTCGATGCTGATGTTTGGGGGGTCCACGCGCAGAGCCAGAGTCTCTGCATATTTGCGCAGGGAGCGATGCAGTTATAGAGGTTCTGGGTTTTGGGATTTGAGATGTGCGCGTATGTGTGCAAGGGCTCGTACCAGCCGTGCAACGCTCGCGGAAGAGGGCGAGGGGCAATACGATGCGGCGCCCAAGTTGCTGATAGGGATGCGGAGAGGCTTCAGAGAAACGCCGCGGTGTTGCGCGGCGCGTCGTGCGTTACCGACTTGCAGCGCAGCAGGACGCCGGCCTTAATACAGCAGGAAGCGACGCCATCCACATCTGCAACCCCAGCCGTTGCGACGGCCCATGCCCAGCCCGAGGCACGCTGCACCCAGCGACAACCGCGCACATGGGCACGCATGCACACGCATGTGCGCGCGCGCGATTTCCATCGGCTGCGCACCATACTCCAGCAGGACGCCCGAGGGCGTCGTGGCCGCATCCCTGACCTCCCGCTCGCGCTGGCGGTAGGCATCAAATCCTATCAGCGGCGCCCGAAGCATCGCCGCCACAGCACGCCGGCCCCACGCCGCGCGCGCCGGGCCGTGGGATCAGGGTTGCGGCGCGCCGCGTGCGCCGCGGGCGGCGCGGTGAGCTGGGGACTGTTGGCTGTGAGTGCGCCGAGGCGACGCGAGGCGCCGTGGGCCGATTGAAAGTTGTGGGTCGCGCCACGTGGGACGCGCACGCCGCGCGGCGTGCTGCTGTTGGGAGCCGAGACAAGTCCGGTATAGTGTTCTAGCAGTGTCTGCAGGGCTTTTGGGTCATCCCAATGGCGAACAGGAGCCCAGTCCGGATGTCAGACGCGCTGTTTGTCCCGCTAGGCGATCTCGAGAGATGGCGCGCACTCAATGGCGCTTCGAAAGGAATCAAAACCTACTGATAAGGGGTCAACGTCATTATTTTTATTTTTGGTAGTACCCTGGATGCCGCAGGGGCACTGGTGAGTGATGGGTGACGGCGCAACTGCTGCGAGCCTGGGAGCTCCACAGATCCACAGCTGCAAGTTTTGAGAGATTCTGGGGGCAAAGCTGCCCAAACTTGCATGCTCCCAAGGTTCCTGATGAAAATTGGGCTCCTATCACCAGCTTTGCCCGTGCTGTTTGGAACCCAAACCGCCACCTGGCCAGCACGTGGAATCAGAATTCGGCCTCCTTCGTACACCTCACCACCCCGTCAGCAAAAGCTTCATGCATGCCCTGCTGGATAAGGTGACAATACTGTCTTCCTGGAATTGACAAGACGCCATTTTACAGGGCGCAGAAGCCACACCAGCAGTGCACGCGCGCCCCGCGGCCCCTGGACCAAAGCGGCCGCGTCGCATCGTCGCCAGCCTGCCTCCGACCTCAAAGCATCCTGCGCGCCAGCTCGGCCAGCCTGTCGTCCCCCAAAAACTTGGGCAGCTCCGCCGCGCTCACCCACGCGTGGTCTGTCGCGAACTGCCTTTGAATCTCGACATCCCATGGGTCGTTGACCACCTGCGCGAGCATGAAGAAGACAGCCCCCTGGCCGGCCCCGCCGCCGCCGCCGGCGCGCTCCACCGCGGCTC